TCTACAATGATGTCGCAATCGGCTGAACTAGCGATGAGTAAAAAAAATTTTTTTCACAAATTGGTGACTGTTTGAAAAAAAAAAGGTTTTTTTTTATTGTTTTTGAGTTTCTCGAATTTTTTAAAAATAGTAAAATAGGAATTTCGGTATAATTCTAGTTTAGACTATAGATAGATCTATACAAGACTCTCTGGAAATTTCAAATAAATTGGTCGAGTAGAACTCCAGAAATCGTGTTAACAGTACTGAAAAAGTAAGTTCTGAGAAAAACGCATTTAAAGTTTTGCGTGAAGCCAAACCAGTATGGAGACCGAGTCAGTAAAATGCCTATATCTCCGAAAATAATTCAAATTTTCAAAAACTTTCTCGTATCCATATTCTTAGATAGTTAAACTTTAAAAATATTAAATGAAAAATCGATTTTTTCGAATTTCTACACTAGAATACCCCCTTAAATTTACCTATTAATTATTACCGGGACAAAAATTGCTTTTAAAACAACCCGGGACACAAGATGGAGATGCGGCCAAACCGGGACGATGGTCACCAATGCAAAACCTTATATGTAAGGAAGGTGGCGTTTCTTTACTCGAATTGAAATATTGAAAAGGTATATAAAAATTTAACAAATATGGCTTTAGTCATAGATAAATAAGCATAGGTCCTTACCTCATTTAGATTATGGATACGTAATTACGTATCTTCTTTAAAGTAGGCGCTAAACACTTTAATTGTTTTTGTTAATAAAAAAACTCACTTAAGCGAAGAGTGCACATACATTTCAATTTAACACTTTTACAATTTATACAATTTAAACATAAATTTATGAATGGCATTTCTATTCAACGTTATTTTTGAACATCAATGAGAATTGATGACAGGTCTATTGACGTTACAACACGCGCCAAAACTATGGACGAGCTCGAGCTGGTTGTTTGCTTAAGGAGCTAATAAATCCTATTTCGATCTGTCTTGAATGACGTTTGACAAGCTGAATAAAAATTATTTCAAAAAGTTATTCTAGGCGTAAAATAAATAATGATTTATTGAGTTGTAATGAGTCACGTATACATAGAAATAATTATTAGTCATGTACATAAATATAAAGAATATAATGATCATTGGAGTACTATGAATAATGACAATGGACACATCTACAACCCCTGCCGCTCAATATTTTGAGGGCTGTGGACATGAAGGCCCCATAAGATGTATATTTTTGTGTGAGTTTCATCCGAAATTAGGCCCAAAAATAAAATGCCAGGTAAATTTAATAAAAAATATTTGCCAATTTGCACAATTTCATAACCTCAATGTTTTTATACATCAGGTACCTGATGACTATATATCCAAAGAAATTTTTGATGCTGTCAGCGTTTACATTATTCCAAAACCTCAGTTGCAGAGATGCATTCTTACAGTGTGAGATGAATTTAATTTACTATATTATTTATTTATTATTCAATTGTACTTTAAGTCAATAAAACTATGTTGGGTCATCTAAATCCCATGAAAACCGTAAGATCCATCGACGTTTTTATCACAACTATCATTCGATCTTGAATATACATGTTTGATTAACAGATAATATTATATAAAATATATTTCAATTTTGATAATCAGATTGATCCTTATTCATTTTGATACTACTAAAAACTAATAAACTATTCAAAGAAAATTATGAATATCAATAGCTTTTTAGAAAATTATAAATTTACTTATAATAGAAATTAAACTGTATTTTTTGTGTAAAAATATGTTGATAATATAAAATTATTTCAGTAATGTTCTGGGCTACAAAATTGTGGGGTTTCCTTTACGTATAGATAGCCAAAAATATGCCAGAAATGCCTTATATTTTAATTTATGTTTTGTATGTGATTCGTGGGCTAAGTCAGTACAATATGAACCAGTGGTAAAAAATTAGCAGAATATTTCGTAAGTAATCAAACTAAATGATTATATTATTATATTTGTTATTTGCTTCAAATAATATGTAAATTTCTCTATATTTAAATTCTATTTTTTTTTTTCAGGCGTCCATGGAGGAAGAATCTGGGTTTTTATCAGATGGGGATACGACACGCTATTTTGGCTTACTGGACAGAGTACTGAATGACCTAAATACGTATCGTCAATGCACTGTTGTTGGTAAAGCTAAAACTATAAAATTAATTTTTTATGTATATTGAACAAAATACTTAATCCCCAATAAGTGCACCATGTGCAGTGCCAAAATTTACAACAACTATATTAAAAATTAAACTTATGTGTTTCTGATATTGTTAAAATGCTATAATATTTATAGAAGGAGAGACCACAATTTACCTAAAAATTGTTCAAGCTGCCACAGACCCACCCATTGTCAAAGATCATGTAGTTCCTGTTTTTGTAGAAGAATATTTGGCAAAACTTGATGACTGGGATTTAACTACTCAACAAGTATTTCATAACAAATGAAATGCGTTTTAAAGAATTCTTGAATAAATACTACTTGTTTTGTAGGTGATTCCATTTATTGATGGTTTTAATCATATAGCACGAATAGCATACCAAAGTGATGTGGAAACTAATTTAGTTAAAGCCTGTATTCAAAATCTGGTCTACTATGGTGTTGTGAGTAATTATATTTGTAAGATCTTTGAGGAAGAAGAAGAAATATCTTTAATAAACATAGCGCAAATATCTTTAAATATTCAATCTCATGAAAGTACAGTTTTTTGTAGATATTTTTTATTCAAATATGTTTTTAAGATTTAATTTATTTTATATTTAAGAACTTGTATTAATATAGCATAAAACTCTATTTCTGTTTAGGTTAAATTACTGCCAATATTAAAATATAGTAATGTGTATATGGTTTCGGCTGGATTCCGATCAATTTGGTCTCAGGAAAAATTGCAGAAGAAATGTAGAGACTATATATCATTAAGACCTACGGGGTTACAACCTTCTTTAAACAAGATATTGGAATTTTATAGTGCAATGGGTAATGGTACAACATTAAAATCTCTATGTGTGCGATTCAGTCCACATAAATATAATATTGATGAAAGGTAATTAATTATTGATTAAATTAACTTTTGCACAATTAATAATTATGGATTATAGTTGTTTAATACTGAAATTTAACATTTTTATCGGAATGATATTTTTAATGACACTATAATTACACAATAATGTTAAATTATTTAAAACCAATATTAACAAGTTATACATGTATAACACTTTGCCATTTTGCATTTGCCATGCACTTTGGCCATTACTAAGTCTTTGATCATAATAAAATAACAAAGTAAAAATAAAATTATAAACTATAGTTGATAATTATTGAGATGCAAGAAACATATTATAATATCTTATCTTATTATAAACAAGTTAACATTACAGAAGAGGATTATCTGCGAGAACTTATTATAGTTTTAATTTAATTCTTAAAATTGATTATAGCGCTAGTTTGCAAAATATTATTTAATTCTTTAAGAAAAAATCATATTAGTAAAACTGACATGTACTATTTTTATTTTTAGGCGTTTGGTTGTATTTGGCTTGCAACATAATTTAATCAAATGTGTTCATAAGGTAAAATATTGCTATGAGATACACTTCAATTAATACTTATACGTCTTAATTATAGTTTATATCAGAAACTATTCAATGTGTAATCTGGTCAATCTTGCTATATTGTTATTATATTTTTAGTACCCCATTTACACTGGAGGTGACCCTCCAGTTAATATGCAAAGATTGTTTACTGGTCAATTATCCATTGATGAACTATGCTGCAGTATTGGAATGTCTCTTCCGCAAATAGAAGACATTATTGAGGCTGATCCAGATGTACTTATGTTGTATAAGTAAGAATATTTAAAAGCATTAATTGTGATATAAAAAGAAATAGCTTACAGGTTTATACAATGACACATTGTAGTTTAAACAGTATTGTTAATATTAAGTATTTATGTTCTGAAGTATACGATAAGAATTAATTTTAAGAGTAATTTATTCTTCTCTTATTTAGTATATCATTCCAAAAAATCATATTACATCATAAATCAAAGATCTGAGAATGTAAAAAAATATTTATTAATAAATAATAACTTAAATTCTATTTTATATTTATTCTTCGTCTGTGTCTTGCTCAGACATATCACATTCACTTGAATAATTCGTGGAAAAACTTGATGTATTTGCAGCAAAGTTTTGCAAATAGCGACCAGTAGATTCTACTCCAAAAGCCTTCTCTTTGAGAGCTTTTCGTTTTGAACCCAATCCTTCATTAGCATCAGTCTCTGAATAAATAATTTAAGAATGCAATTTAACTTCAGGGAATAAGAGTTAATTGATCAACAAAATATTTAATAAATTGATAAAATTAAAAGTTCATTTTATGATAAGTCATTGAGAAAAAATGATTTATATTGACTTCATTTCAAATACATAAATATTTATATTTATAATTAAAATTACTCAGGCTACTCAAGCCATAATAAAGCTTAAGCTTTGAGAAAGAAAAATATCACCAAATAAAATTTTGTGAATACATATAAAATATATTTTTGGTTTTGTTTAGATAAACCACATTTTCGAGTACTTAAAAGACAATACTGTTTGTAATGGTAGCTTAAAACTTGTACTACATTTCTTATTATTTATGCACCATTTACATACCACATCCAGACTCTTCTTCTTTACTAGTAATTTGTTTCAAAGGAGTTTTAGGACCCTCGTCAAAACAATTATGCAGCACAGCAGATATATCAGAATCCTCCAATTTTGTTGGAACTAAAATATTCATCCATATATATATATATATATATATATATATATATATATATATATATATATATTAACAAAGTCTAATAATCGGGCATAACATCATAAAAACATGATTTCTTTCAAAAATTTATTTTAAATCCATACGTTTCGGCTATATCCTAGCCTTCATCCACTGAATGAAGGCTAGGATTATAGCCGAAACGTATGGATTTAAAATAAATTTTTGAAAGAAATTCATGTTTTTTATTGATGTTATGCCCGATTATTAGACTTTGTTAATACATATGTCAACATCAAATTCAGAATCATACAAAATATATATATATATACACATATGTATATATTATATCATATTATATGTGTACAACGTTTTTAACTTTCATACATTTTAGTTGTTCTCTACGCATTTTATAGTCTTCTCTGAATGAAGAAATTATTTCAGATATTTCATTCAGTTCAACTCGCTCTTGTGGTTTAATAGAATATGATTCAAACGTTATATGATGTGGTATCATTAGAGTATGTGGTAGTTCTGCAAATTAAGTTTAAATTTAATATCGATAAAATTATCAAGTGGTAACATGTCATTGACCAATACCTTTAAAATATTTATAAAAACTTTTTTCTAAACCATAACAGTGACTGTCAAATACAAATTTGAAAGCATTATCATAATATAACTTTAGAAACATATATATTGGTTCATCATCTATAGTTCTGTTTAGTGTTAACCACCATCCTTTCAAATGCATCCATTCCTCTCGCACAAGTCTAATTTTTGCAAATTCTACAAAGGGCTGGCTATAGTAAAGGGAATATCTGAAATAATGTATCATATCAATAATCATAAAAATAGAAAATATAGCTGAAATTGAAATTCCTTTAATCCAGTAATATATATAGAATTTTAGATCTCAATCTTAAATTTAAAATATTCTTCATTTTTAGTATTTAATACTCTTGTCTTAATTAACGAATTACGAATGTTTTTACATTTACTAATGATGAAAGAAAGAAATTAACTTGATGCTATGCAATACATTTGGAAAATTCTCTTATTATTCATTAGCTCCAAATAAAAGAACAAGTCTGAATTGGGTCTCATTGTTTAAATTTTTTGATGAGCATTTCGAAGTAAAATTATAAGATGTAGACCTCATCAAATTCATAGTTAATACTCATAAAAGGTTAAAAAAATTACAGTAAAAATAAACCTCCTATTTTAACTTTTGCATCTTTTACACATAAAATAAAATATTTAGCAACATCCATAAATTCCTCTGAAATCTCCATAACCTCTGCTGCATTATTGCGCCCACTAAAAACGTAATAAATTATTTATTTTATTAATTGCAATCGAATTGCGTAATACATATGGTCCAATATCTCACACAAATATTTGCGCAAATTTCATCTCTTTCCATATATCGGAAAAACATTTAAAAGTGCTCTCAGGAGCACTCCTAAAATTGTAAATAATTCTTGTGGCATCTTCTCGGAAGCCTTTTGCAAATTGGGGTATTACTGCGCACATTTTAATTACTTAGCAAATTGTATTTATAGATTTATTCAGATAAGTATTTTTATGAAAGTTTTAACGAATTTACTCGAATTGCCAATAAGTACAGAACACGTTGTTAAGCAGCTGTCAAATTACGCAATGTTTTGAGATGACAAGATATTCCAGTGAAGCGCAAGATAAACACAAATTATAGATAATATTAATCGATAAAATAAAAATGAAGTGTAGTAGTTGTCCAAAATCAAAATTGAAAAATTTTGCATATCTTCAATTTTTTTTGCTTTATTTGACTTAAATACATATATTGGTTTTTATATAAAGATTCGAACAATTTGCAAATTGTATACACCTATTCTAGGAATATCATTATAATTATAATATATACATATATATATATATATATATATATATATAAATTATATATATATATATATATATATAATTTAATTAATTAATATAAGTATGAAAAGAGCTATTAAAAACATACTGCCACATACTGCCATCATGTATATAATGCATCATGTATATAATGCATATCTTCACGTTTTGAATGTTTCTGAACATTTTAGCACCTTAGAAAAAATTGATGTGTGTGTATGTGTGAATAATTTAAAAAACATTTGATTACTACTGATGGGGAGACGTGCTAGTTTTTGGCAAGGACAGGTCCAGCCATTTCGGACATACAAAGCTAAATGTGCAAAAATAGCAATATTTGAGAGAACAAAGCACCCGATTTGAATCATTCAAAAAAAAATATTTTAATTTAATTTTTTTATTTAGAGGGCGTCCATTAATCACGTGATACGACCCCGACCCAGTCTTTGGTGATACATATGGATACATGCATGATGATGGGTGATATTCAAAATTATCCCATTATTAATAATAATATAATTATCATTATATTTCGTGATTTTTTGTCAAACCCTCCCTTACCTCACGTGATTAATGAACGCCCCCTCACAAAAAATATTTTTTTGAATAGCGAAAATAATTCGGATTCTAATTTTAATTCTAGCTAAAACTCCAAAGTTCACCTTTGTACTTGAAATAAGTAATTTTAACTTTGCAATTAAGTTTTGTTCATTTACTTTTTATGCAAAATTATATGAACGTCATTGTCCAATTTATAAGCTCTTATATTTTGTCTATAAAATACGAATAGTGAAAGTTTTAGTGCTTATAACAATATATTTGAAAAGATTTAATATTCTTCGAATATTTCATTTTGTTACGGGAAGTTCCGGCAATTTACTTTAATAATTTAGAATTGAATAAAAAATAGAAAACAGACAAATATGCGAAAAAAACATTAAACCATACAATAATAAAAATGCGAATAAAACATTAAACCATTCAATAAAACAATAAAAATGCTAGATAACAAATATATATACATTATATATATATATATATATATTTGTATATATATATATATATTTATATATATACACATATATACATTATATATATTTTTTATCGTAATCGTGTCCCTACGGCACTGTTATCTTTTCTCTTGTGAAGTAATGCATGCAAGTTTGTTGCCGTGCTGTCATCAACAGTTATTTACGTGCCTGTGTCTGTTCGTCTATTAGAAACTTTCATATACAATGTGGATTAACTATGTTGAACGCTTCTGTGAACATAAAATTAATGTGAAATATTATTTAAACAAAATATTAGAAGTAATTATGAATAATAATATTCAATTACCCTAGTCAGAATTACAATTATTGAATAATGATCAAGTGCTCAATGTCAATGTCAATAGTGACATTGTTTTTAGTTTACGTTATAAATCACACTTTAGGATATTTTGGAACTGAAGTTAATAAAAATGATGACTGTTTTTGTGAAGTGAGTGCTTCATTTATTTTTTATCACAATCATCATTAGTGTTAATTTATATATCTTTTCGTTTTTTCAGCTTAAAGGTAGTATAGACGATTGCAGTTGTACGGTTGATACTGTAGATTATTTCAATAATAAAAAAATCTTTCCGAGACTACAGAGTTTGCTCATTAAAGATTATTTTAGATTTTACAAAGTGGACCTAGACCGGGTAAGTTTGCTATGATTATCATTTGTATTATAAAATGCTCTTGACTTTCTATTAGTAATTGTCAAACTTTATGATTCATAGCTGATTAGTCAAATATCATTATTAATATTCAAACTATTAACTAGATCACAATTGAAAAAATAGTTTTATTAGCAAATTGTATCGATAATAATAGAAAATAAAATAGACGGATGTTAATTGTTTTTGTAGAACTAAATTGTGCACCTGTTTGAAAATTTGCTTTTTTTGTTCACACTTTTTGATATTTGATATGTGAGCAACATATAATATAGTCTAAAGTTTATAAAATTTATTAAATATACCTACTCAATAGTAGAACATTCAATATTAGCTTTCGAACTTTCTTTTTCTGAAATGCTGTAAATGTTTTCTTTCCATTTTCATAGTAATCAAAATATTTATTTGAAAATTTTCTATTTAATTTAAATTATTTTGCTAATCCATTGCATATTCTAATTTGATTCCTGTTTTGTTCAAATTATTTGTAGCAAATATTTTTATTGCATTCATTTAAATGTCTGTCTTCCTTCTTCGAGTATCACATTATATTATTATTTCTAAAAAAGATTTGATGTTGTTCAGAATAAGCGCTATTATTATTATTTATATTAATTATTAAATGCCCGCAGGCATTACATGTATTATTATATACATGTATTATTATATCAATAAGAATATTGTTATTACATAATTTAAATCAGAAATTTGTTCAAAAAAGATTAATACAAAATTGTTTAAGTACTTTTAGTTTGTACTAAACAATAACTGATGAAGTGATTTATCTCAACATTAAAAATTAATTTAATATAAATGATTCATAATAAAATGCTTCATTTATATTTATTTCAATGAATACAAGAAATATGTAGTTTTGAACGTAAGCATTTGAAATATGATAATGTACCTATTATCACTGGTTTTTCATAATAAATCATCTACATAATTATTACTTTTTATCTATAAATTATAGATATTTTGCATAGATAACAAAATAATTTTATGTTTGTTTTCAGAAATGTCCATTTTGGGTAGATGACAGTCGATGTGCTATGTCACATTGCCATGTAGAAGCATGCCAACAAGAAGATATTCCTGCGGGTCTGAAACGAATGAAACAAAGATATCAGGTTTTTGTTTTTAAAATTGTATTTCTTACTAAGATAATATTTTAGATTCATGCCATTTTTACTAGTCATATTTTGGGATATAGTTTGAATTTGTTTAATCTTTATATATGTATACATATATTCTTCATTAGTATTTGTCATACTAAATTTCCTGTTTTTATCTCTACATTTATCAGTGAAATAAGGTGATTCATTTATGAGTAATCTATTTGCACCTGTCATATCACTCATATTTTCTTTGTTGCCTAGGATCCAGATCAATCTCAAACTTTCTGTGATGACTTTGATACCAGACTGGGATATTTAAATATGAGCATTAGTCCAGCTGCTCACAAAGGATTTGAAGAATGGGCTAAACATGATGATGCACAAGTAAATATACCTGTTAAATATTTTTTATCATCTTTTATTTATTGGGTTTTTAATTTCAGGATAATTTTTGTCTCTTAGATGAAGATGAACCTTCAGCTCAATATGTAGATTTATTATTAAATCCTGAAAGGTATACGGGTTACAAAGGATTTTCTGCAAATAGAATTTGGAGGAGCATATACATGGAAAATTGTTTTAGGTATTTTATTGTAATATTGTCTTTCAATAATTCAATTTGAATTGAACTTCTTTACAATTCTATGTTAAATTTTATTTTCAGACCAAAAATTTGCATGAACTATAATTCTTTTATTCCTTATAATGCTTTATCGGCCCAGAATGGAATGTGCCTGGAGAAAAGAGCATTTTATAGAGTACTGTCAGGGTTGCACACTAGTATAAATATTCATTTATGTGCTAATTACTTATTATCAGGTAAAGTGTAAAAATATTTATTATATCTCTATAATATAATTATTTGTTATATATTTATTTAGATAAGGAACAACCAGGGTTTGTTGGCCCTACAACTGGACTTTGGGGCCCTAATATAGAAGAATTTAGGCATCGTTTTCATCCAGATTATACCAATGGTGAAGGGCCTCATTGGTTAAGAAATTTATATTTTATATACTTAGTAGAATTAAGAGCTTTATCAAAAGCTGCACCTTATTTATTAAGAGAAGAGTATTTTACTGGCAATGAATCAGAGGATAAAGATGTAAAAGCAGCTATTACCGATTTGTTAAAAGTGGTTCAGTAAGTACCTATATATGACTTTTTTGGTACAATATACTAACTATAGCCATTTATTTAGGCTTACATATTTAATATATAATTTTTAATATCAAGCAATATTATTTCTATTTCTACTTTATTACAGGTCTTTTCCTACTCCTTTTAATGAACGTACTATGTTCAATGGTCACACAACAAAATTAAAAAGAGAATTCCAACATCATTTTCAAAATATTTCTCGTATAATGGACTGTGTGGGTTGTGACAAGTGTAAGCTTTGGGGAAAGCTTCAAGTTCAAGGATTAGGAACAGCATTAAAAATTTTATTCTCTGGAAAATTTGATTCATTTGATGAATATGGTAATAATGGTGATTTTTATTTTTGTAATAATAATATGTGTACTTTACAATATAACTATTTTTGTTTAGGAATAGATTTGGTAACTTTGGGACGAAGTAAATTTCAATTACAAAGAACTGAAATTGTATCACTATTTAATGCTTTTGGAAGGTAAATAGGACAAAACAATTTATTACAACTCTGTCATAATATCAAGTTAAAATTATATTGATAATATTTTAGATTATCAACGAGCATAAATGAACTGGAAACTTTCAGAACAATCAAGAAAAAAGGTAGCACATACTATATAAGTCGAGTTATAAGATTACATCACATAGTGGTATAATGTTTTAATATAAATATTATTAATTATTTATTATATTCAAAGATGTTTATTATAAAATATTTGTTTAAATAAATATGATGTTCGCAATTACTCTTTTAATAGCAACTATTATTAACATTAACTCACATCGATTGCTAGCTCTTCATACATGATTCCCACTAGGTCAAGCTGGTTTCAGTAAATATACAAACACTCTTAACAAAAAAAACGTTTGCATTAGATATAATTTACACATATCACACTGGTATTTTAAACTAATATCTATATATTTAGTATTTTCTTAATTCAATGTCGATATATGGAAAATTAAGTTCAAATGAAGTGCGCGTGTTTCATAATTTTAAAATTATGAAACGCAAAAATTTAAATGGCGGGATCGTTTGACGTGCAACTGCAGCGCCAAAGTATTGTCACGTGACCAGAATATTTACTACCGCTAAAGGTTTATTTTTGCTTGGTTGTCATGATTTGAATATACTTTTGTTTTTTTCTACTTTTATAATTACTTTTGCTTTCTAATATGAACTCAAATAATTTTCTATATTGTTCAAGTAGTACTGATCCAAATTGTTTAATCAAAACAATATTTGGTGGAACAGTTTTTGATATTCATAGTATTAAGTATCACAAACTTTTTTCGGAATCGATCCAGAAAATGTGCGAATCACATTATCCATTCAGAACAACTGACATTAGACACTTCAAACTCAAACTCAAACTCAAACTTTCACTCAAATTCTGATGCACAACCACACCCTCAAAGGTAACTGACATTTCTTAATTTTAAATTATAAAACTTATCTGAATAATGAAGCGAATAATTGTATTTTCTTGATTTTTTTCATTTTTGTTGAAAAGAATTGTAGACTATGCCAAAATTCCGAGCACCCGCGTCACAAGATCTATGACTGCTGCAGGACGCGCTCAACTCTACGACCAACTAGAAATTCCAAAAGAACAAGATTAAAAACCCGAAAATAAAAAGATAAATACACCCCAAAAATATTGACGAGACCAAAATATAAAAATTTGTTTCTCAATGCCTAAGACTTGGCAAGATAACGCATTTATATCAATTACTAATAAAAAAAATTTACATTAGTGAACATTGAACATTTAAATTAATATGAAATGAAAGTGGATTCTAGCGCAATTTAAAATTAGTTCAAAATTGATGCATGACGAATCGCGTCGTTAATTTATATATTTTTATATTGGTCTGTAGAAGTATTCAAATAACAAAATACCTACACAAAGACTTCCCATTTCCCAACAAAAAAATAATGAACAGTGAAAAAGCAATCAAAATAATATATTTGGCCGTTACACAAAAAAATTAAATGGTGTTTCCCTCTATTCATCGGTAAGAATATATCATTGACAGTTACAATGGGTGCATTCGACTTGGACGCTTACGCGCTGTGAGCGCGCCGTGAGCGCGCTTTCATCGTTCGACTTGGCGCTGTGAGTTTCACATAAGTACGCTCGTAGCACCATCGTAGATGCTCGTAGCACATATTTTGCGCTCACATACGCTCACGCCACAGAGGTAGGGCAGCGTGAGCGTGAGCGTCAGTTTGTTTTACTATCTGTCATTTCATTTGTTTATTATTTGTCAAATTCTTTATAATTCCGCAAAAATGGCAAGCTGTAGATCACAATTATTTTTCAATATTAATATTGATATTAATTAATTTTAAATTTAATTAATTTTAAATTTCAATTTTAATATTACTATTAATTAAGCATAAGCTAACCAAATTTCATTTATTTATTAATTGTTTAATTCTTTATAATCCCGCAAAAATGCCAAGTTGTATATCACATATTTTTTGATATTAATATAATATTAATTAATTTAAATTCAATTAATTTTAATAATTTTCAATTTTATTTTAATATTACTATTAATTAAGCATAAGCTAACCAAATTTCATTTATTTATTAATTGTTAAATCTTTATAATCCGCAAAAATGCCAAGTTGTATATCACATATATTTTTTGATATTAATATTAATATTAATTAATTTTAAAATCAATTATTTTAAATAATTTTAAATTTTAATTTTAATATTACTATTAATTAAGCATAAGCTAACCAAATTTCATTTATTTATTAATTGTTAAATTCTTTATAATCCCGCAAAAATGCCAAGTTGTATATCACATATATTTTTTGATATTAATATTAATTAATTTTAAATTTAATTAATTTTAAATAATTTTAATTTTTAATTTTAATATTAATATGAATTTAGCATAAGCAAACCAAATTTCATTTATTTATTACTTGTAAATTCTATATAATCCCGCTGAATGATCCAGAATAATAAATTTTACACAATTACCGTTACCGCCAGTTGCCGCCATTTTGATGCTTATTGACGCTCACAGTTTCCAAAACGAACGGAATTTTTATCGATTCTGAGCGCTTCGGCCAATCGAACGCTAAAAATTCGTGCTTATAAGCGTGAGCGCTCACAGCGCGTAAGCGTCCAAGTCGAATGCACCCAATATGAATTGACAGCTAGCTGACAGTTCAATATTGCACAATATGATGGTATTTTATATTTTATAACTTTTTATATATCGTTAACAGATTGTTTAAAAGATAATATTTTTCTAATATGGATGAGAATCAAGAAAGACAGTGTGACGAATTATCTACTTTAGAAGCATATGTGGGGAGAATGAGTTTTCTTATTCTATTCCTGACAAAATTCCTGTAAGTTTTTATGTCCATATATATCATATGGAGTATTTTAAATTTTTTTATTTATTAGGTCGGATATGCCGATATATGCGTGGATTCATCGCCAATTGAAGTCTTTTTGTTGATCCCAAATCACATAAACATCTTCAATAACGGTGAGTTTTTTTGGAGGTTATGAATTTTTTATTTAAGATACTATATATTTTTTATTTAAGTTGAACAAAGAAAATTTAAATAAAAATTATAATTTTTTTTTGCTATAGATTATTCTATTCGAATTGACATTATAATTTTTATAATTCTATTACAAATTGATTGAATTAAGGACATTCTCTTTCTTTAAGCCAACCACCAAAGAAAAAGCAAAGATTTTATTAATTATTTTATTATTAAAGTTAGTTTAAAGTCTGCTCATGAATCTATTTAGGTTTCCTATTTACCACCAATAAGGCTGAATTTTCAATTGCCTAAAGATTATCCAAAATCTGTGTCTCCGAAATTTGTTATTAGTTGTAACTGGCTTACACATGAACAGTTGATAAAGCTTTGTGATTATTTAGATGAAATTTGGAATACGGATCCAGTAAAACTAATGATAATAAATAAATTAAGCTTATTTGTAGAAGATATTATTTATATATTATTACAACAGGTGAAGAAGTTTTGTATAAATGGATGCAGTTTTTGAAACATGAAACCATGACATTTTTACAAATTAAGGAAATTAATATAACTCAAAGGAAAAAAACAAATTCTGAAAAATCTCCGATCACCACAAATGACTCAGATGTTGATATGAAAAAGAGAATAAAATACAATACCGAGAAAAATAGATATATCATTTTCTTCTCAAAAAACTTCAAAAGATTCAAGAGTTTTAATCGATAGAAGTATAGACATGCTCATCACTAATTTGAAAGAATATAATGAAAAATGTCTTTTAGAAGAATTTAATTTAACATATGTATTTTGTGAAATATGTTTTGTATCCAATTCAGGAGCACATTGCATCAAATTCAGGTAATATATTTCATTCAGATTAAATTTGGATTTTAGTTTATACTTAAGTTGAATACTATTTATTTTGCTGATTAATTAATAAGTAATCATTTGGAAAGTTTAGTGAAATATTATAATTAAATAATATTTAAATTTCAATTCAAAAATGAGATCTGTAGGTTTGAAATAATAATTATTATAATCTAAATTTATACTTTGATTATAGCTGTGACCATGCTTTTGTAAATTATGTGTGTCAGAATATTTATTAACAAAAATTAAAGATGGTAATGTCATTGGCATTACTTGTCCAGCAATAAATTGCAAGCAAGAAATCAGCATAGCTCAAATCAAGAATTTAATTTCGCAAGAAAACTTTCTCAAGTAAGTTTAGAATAACATTAATAATTCAATTGTTAATTGTTCTCTTATAATTGAAATTTTTTCTAGATTTGAAAAGCTTATGCTTAGTCAAACATTAGATACGATGATGGATATTATATATTGCCCAAGAGTAGTTTGCCAATATCCTGTTACTTACGACCCATCTGAAGCCGTTGCCTCATGTCCAAATTGCTTATATTCTTTTTGTGTACTTTGCAAAAGGGTATATCACGGTGTGGAACCTGCAAATTAAAACAAGGTGAGTGTTATGTAGAGATATATCTAAAAATGTGTGTAGTAAATTTTCGTGAAATACAAATATATATTTGAACATATTTTTATTAAATGCGTTTTTTTTCAGAGGATAGATTAGCTGTCATTGAAAAATATCAAAACGGAACCGATGAATATAGACAAGAAATAAATAAAAGGTATGGTGAAAAGTATATTAAAAGGTATTAGAAGATCATGCTTCTGAAGAAACTATAAAACAATAGCACGAAACCATGTCCAAAATGTGGAGTTCAAATAGAGGTAGCTTACATTAATTTATTTCCTAATATTTATATATGACAAAATACATATATTTATAATTAACATAAATATTTAGAAATCGGAGGGATGCAATAAGATGACATGTAACAGATGCCAGACATTTTTTGCTATTATGTTCTTCAGTTTTAGACAGAGGTGATCCATATGATCATTTTGCAAATCCTGCTTCAAGATGTTATAATAAATTATTTCCGCATGAAAGAACTGAAGATGATTAAGTAGATGAAATGTTTAACATATTTTATTTTTTTGATACTATATTTTTAACAATTTTATTTAATTTATTTGTATAAATAGATAATTCCTATATTTATATTAATTGTATAAATGTAAAAGACCATGTTTAAAAAATATATTTTCATAATGAACACTATTTAAAAGTAGTCTTTCAATTAAGGCTGCATTCTTAAAGCTCCATCAACTCGAATCACTTCACCATTTAGAAGAGGATTTTCAATATTGTTTGTACCATATGAGCAAATTCAGAGGGCTCTCCAAGTCTTTGAGGAAATGGAATAGTTTTTGCCAAAAATGCTCTTACTTTCTCTGGAAGTTGTTGTAGAAGTGGTGTTGAATAAACCTTAAAAAAAAATGCCTTAAGAAGAGGTATGCTATTTATAAATTCTCATTAAATAGTAGCTCTTGTACTCTTCATTTGAAATAAACAGGAAAACAGTCTAAAATTTATAACAATATAGAAGTTGTCTTAAATTATAGAACTTCAATATTGCAATTACTTTCTTAAATATTCTTTGAAGACTCTCTTTCGTTAAAAATTAAAATTCTCAGAATTAAATAATCGTATTTCCAGTAATACCTGGTGCCAGAGTGACCACTCGAATGCCTTGACTCGCTAAATCTCTAGCAATAGGCAGTGTCATTCCAACAATAGCACCTTTGGACGCAGAATAAGCAGCTTGTCCCATCTGTCCATCATAAGCAGCAACACTTGCTGTGTTTACAATCACTCCTCGTTGACCATCCTTATTAGGTTCATTTACTCCCATCAATCCAACAGACAATCGAATTACATTGAAGGTTCCAACAGTATTAACCTATTCAATTAATGATGAAAAATGTAAGACCATTCGAGTACTGTAAAGCAACAATTTTTTAAAAAATCATTAAGTAAATGTTATTGCTTTTAAATAATATATTTTTTTAAAAAAAAATTCAGATAATAAACGCAAAGCGATTCTTAGAAAAGCCGTTAAATGAGAATTGATTCATCTATTTGTAAAAAGTTGGATTTCATTACATTCAAGTTTTTAAGTAATTATGACTCACTTACCATTAGAACTTTTGTAAAATCTTCTAATTTATGAGGCAACTGCTTATTGAAATTATATGTTTTAAATGCTACACGATACCAGCACAGCACAGTTTACAGCACATCAAGGCGACCAAATTTTTCTTTAGTTAATGCTATTGCTTCCTCAACATCTTTTTCAGATGTGACCTAATAACAAAATGTAAGTTAGTTGGACGTGCAATATTTAGGCCAAGATTTCTTAGATATTGAAAAATTACAATAATACATATATACATCTCAAAACTGCATAAACTCTATTGTTTTTCTAAAAATGATCTACTTCTGAAATACTTACATCAACTGGTGCATATAAACAATTATCTCCAATATCTTTAGCTACTTGAGATCCACTTGATTTAGGTAAATCACATAAAACTACTCGGCCACCTTGTGCACAATTCGCTCCACAGTGGCCTTTCCCAAACCAGAAGCACCTCCAGTAACAAGACCTACAACGCCCTGAAAAGAAAATGACATTAAATTTCAAGCCACAAAGGATGAAAAAACATTTAAAAATATATTAAATTATTTAGATGCTCTATAACTAGGTTATAATTCAAACTTTTATGTTTGTTCGATAGTACAAAAATATTATCCCACCTTCAACATTTTGAGAGATGATTTGAAAAATTGTTGTGAATATAAAATATATAAAATGAAATCTAATCTGTGTCTTTTCAAGATAATATTTTACAAAATTTGAATGACATTGTTTTGACCGCGTGATATTCCAAAGTAGCCAAAGACCTTTGACAATAAACAGGGTCAAACTTCATTGCTTTTGATAGTTTGTTTTGGTTGAATAAATTAAAATTAATAAAGCATAATCGATGCATAACTGCACACGTAAATTTACAATTGAAATATTTAGGAAAATATTCATCAAATAATTGATTTAATTTTTTGAAATATTGAAACTCGCAATACATTTTTGAATTTAAATGAAAACCAATCTTTATAAAAATAATTATTACAAAAGTAATTACGTATATATTACATAATACTAGCCATTTTTAATTATTTCAATAGTAATAATTCAATTTAATCGAAAATGATTACTGAATTTCGATTTCCTAGATAGAAATGCCCTGTCTGCTTTGGAAAACAGAGTGTGGCGGTGTTTACAAAATTATATAGTGTTCTTTTCTTAAATCATAGATAAATAAGCATTTAATAGCAAATTTTAAATAGTTAGTCAAATTTAAATTGCTTGTAGGTAAAGTATTTACAAAATATAATTTATGTGAATGAAGATTATAATTACTTAATATTTTAAATTAGGATTGTAATTACTTATTATTTTAAATATTATAATTTTTTTATATGATATAAAATTTTATATGATAAAACATTAATGAATTTACTTCTTATTTGTTTAAATTTTATTATGAATTTTATAATGTTAGATTTTATGTGTTATTTTTCATAAATTTATATTTTAGCGG